CCTAACCCCTTACCCTAACCCCTAACCCCTAACCCTTAACACAAAAAAACAGTTTCCCCCTAACCCTATCCCCTAACCCCTAACCCCTATCCCATGTCCCCTATCCCCTATCCACTATCCCCCATGCCCTAACCCTACCCCCATCCCCTAACCCTATCCCCTAGCCCACTAACCCCAACCCCTAACCCCTAGCCCTAACCCTTATTGTCAGCGCCGGTCTCTTATGTGACCAGGCGTTGATGGGGTAATGGGTCTTACTATAGCCTTGTAAGGCCAGTAGAAATAAAACCTCACCTCAACGCTAGAAAGCAGAGGGGTTAGCTCCCTGGGTTAGAGGGGACAACAGTGGAATGAGCATCACCGCGCCTGAGCTCAGAGTGGTACGATGACTCTCTTCTAGACTACAGTAGTGACTTAACTGTAGTCTAGGATAGTAGAATAAGGATGAAGATAAAAGGTAAAGAGAAATGGGAGAGTGTACTGCTAAAACCCCACTCACTAATGTTAAGTAAGGTAAACGGGTTTGTATGGCAATAATCTCTGGGGGAAGGAATCCTAAAGGGAAAGCTTTCCCCTTAAGTATTGCAAAGGCAGGGATCAATCTGCCTGTGAGACCGGTGAGGCCTACAGATGATCATTTATGTATATAAATCATGAATGATCAAAATATGTATTTAAATTAAGATTAAACCAAAAGGGGAGGAACTGACATCATCTCTTTCTCTTGGTGAATCAATACAGAGAGAGATGATTAATTCCATCCTGATTGGTACTCATCACTCTTATTACAATAAATACATACAGAGAGAATATGTACTTGATTATTCTATTATAGAATAAGAAACCAAGGGCACTTGGACTCAGGTACATATATAAATATATACACCATCCTTTGGAGTGGTCATTGAGCCACTACACTAACTCACTCATGGAAATATGAGCCAATGCAGACATTTGGACATGTCCTACATGTCTCATGGCTGACATTTGCCACCACCAAAAAAAATGACTCATAGAGGAATTCTGAAGATAAACATGTTTTAGAATTTCTGAAAAAAAAATACAAAGGTTTTGAAATTGATTCTTATGCACTGCAGAAATCATTATTTACTCTTCTTATGTCTTTGATAAAGGAAGAAGGCATGTTAGCCTTTGTGAAAAACAAAGTAAATGATAAAGAAATGTTACAATTTATACAAATGATCCTGTGTAAATATTATTCTGATGAAATGTCATTTGTTACAGCTCATCTTGGTTATTGAAGTTCTTGCAGACACATGGATGAATATCTCAGTGTTTTACATCTCCCTCCTCAAAAAATGAGCATTATTCTGAGCAGTAACTGTACATTTGTTTAGTTTGGAATCTCTGTTGGAAGCTTGGAAGCTTGGAAGCAGCCAATGATATTCATACAGCCATTTGGCATAAGTTACAAAGTCCTTAATAAAATTTTCCATATGTGATTCCTATTTGAAGTCATTTATTCACCCTTTTTTATATTGGTGTCCCACTGCTGAGGAACTCACATGTCTGGACTTCCTGACTGGAAAGTTGAACTCAAAAAACCAGTACTCAAGAATTAATAGCTCCTTGGATAGAAGCCTGTTCCAAGTCTTGGACTACACCAATCACAAGGTTGTTGGACTGATGATTAGAAAAGACAGGTTCATCAGAAGGAACAAGGTAGCAGCAAGTTGCTTTAGGGTAGCAAGTCAATCTAAGGCAGTGAATTGTCCTAGGCTAGTGAATCGATACAGGGTAGCAAGTTGCTCTAGGGTATCAATTCACTCTAGGGTAGCATGATTGATGTTATTGACTGATGAGTGTCCAAGTAGCAAAACGATCGGATCAAAACTGAAGAGGCACTTAAGCACTCCTTCGCCAGTTGGATCTAAATTATTTTATTAATAATTTGGTGATTGCTTTATTATTTTTGCCTAATAGTGGGCTGGTTTTGGAACCGACTTGATCAACAGTCTCTATACTTGAGTATAGCAGCAAGCTATATTTGATCAACATTGTACAAGCGAGGTGTAGTTGTATGAAGAGTTGTGACTGTTACAAAGCTCTCGCCATTGGTAGTCTGATGAGATTTAAGAGTGAACAAAAAGCAAGAGATATCCAAGGATTGCCCAGTGATCGATCAGATATCTTTTCCTGCAAAAAGAACTTTCAGTTTGTTAAAGGAAGTCACGTTTGATTGAGTTCAATCATGGCATTCCAGGAAACTGTTGTAGCTGTTAGGAAAGATTTTGTTTGAACTAAACAATTGCTGACCTGGTACTGCAACCTAGAGTTAGCTCTCAATGATCAATTCAGCAAAGCATTTCACAATCGTCCAACTGAACAAACCAGATCGATACCTAGCATTTTCAGGAAAGCAGAAAGACTACAGGATTGATGACCAGACTGGACATTTGACTGAATTTAAAATTATTCTGTGTTTTCCAAGAAGTGATCGATTGCCAAGAGGCGATTCAATTTGAGGAGACAAATCAGGAACTTTATTTACAATCAAGTCAAGCAACAAAGAGTTCAAGTTAAGATTGAGTGAACATAATAATTCCTAGCAAAATTCAAAAGAGAAGGGATCCAATCTCAGAAAGAATCAAACAAAGACAGACTATCATTCAATTGATTTCTTCAGAGCTTGTGTCCCACTCGGATGGCACTACCTCCGGACTAATATTTTTCCTGTTGGGGTTTTTTGAAGCCTGGGCGATATTGTTCTTAGCAGTCTTTGTTGTTTTAGAAGAACGAGTCGATTCTGTGGTAGTTGATTGTCCTGACTTAGTAAGCTTATTGACTACGACATGATCAAAAATGGTTGATTGATGAACAAGGCATCCTGACTCTAAGGTTTGAAACGGAATGAACACCAAGGAATCCAACCGACTGAGGAACAGGAGACCGTATTCAGAATCTGAGTGAAGATTGGCTTTACACTATTGCAGGGTCGAGTGAGTGAAAACAAACTAGAAGTCCAATAGCCAAATGAGCTGCTTACTTTTGACTATAGATTGTTTACTTTTGGACGGACCAGAACTGGTCAACATTCTGTCAACGGCGGGGCTGTAGAAACAACAACAGCTTTTGGCTTGTCCTACTATGTTGATGCATCCGAACTACGGTCCCATTTAGATGGTTTTCGCCAAGTCAGAGCTAATGACTTAACAAGAAAATAGGTCAAAGTCAAAACGATTATGCTGCTCACTCATCAATATCGCTGATCAATAACTAACTAATTTCAATAGAATA